GCCTCACTGATAAAAGGTACCAAGCCATGTGGCTAACACAGACAAGGTTTATGTACTAATGTAAGATGTAAGAATTAGTTAATAATAAGCCTGAGCTAATAGGCCAACCAGTTTATAATTAATGTAGACCTCTGTGTGTTTCTTTGGGACTGAATGACTGTGGGACCTGGCGGGACAGAAACCTCTGTCAACAAGTCACTGTCAAGTGATTGTCTTGAGCATCAGAAGAGACTTTGAACATTTGAACAGTATAGGGGCTATTGCAGAATATGAATATCATTGAAGTGACTAAATTAATTTTCTTCATGGATGACCATGAGCCTATAGTGACACAGGTCAGAATGTAATTGATTGAATGAAAAACCTCCCAGATAAAATGTGTTTTAACACGTGCCTCTTCTTGGTAAATTTCATTTGATTGCTTGTGAAACCACTAGTAGGAGGAGCCTTTCTGGATGAAATCTCTCATTGGGGATGTGATATGATGTAGTAAAAAGGGCCGCTTGTTTGTTTCCAGCTGCTCAGCCCCAAAATAATCACACAGAAACTCTATTAATTAAATCATGGCTTGGCCCATTAGCTCTAGCTTCTTATTGGCTAACTCTTACATTTTAATTTAACCCATTTCTATTAATATGTGTACCGCTATGTGGCTGTGGCTTACTGGGTAAAGTTCCCAACATCCGTCTCTGGCAGGGTTACATGACTTCTCTCTGACTCCACCTTATTCCTCCCACCATTCACTTTAGTTTTCCCTGCCTACCTAAATCCTTTCCTATAGCTCTGCTGTAGGCCCAAAGCAGTTCCTTTATTAAGCAATGATAATCATAGCATACAAGCGGGAATCCCACATCACCTCCCCTTTTCTTTAAATGAAAAGGAAGGTTTTAATTTTAACATAGTAAAATTACATATAACAAAACAGGTATCAAGCAAGAACTACAGTTACAATATTTACATCTACTTTATCTTTTTTATAACTAAGGAAAACTATAAATTCTTCAACTCCATCAAAGACCTCAGAAGGATATAATATTACCTAAGTAAACAGGAGATGCATTGTAAGCAACTTCCAAAACTCTAGAAATGACAGAGACATCTTGCTGCCTGGACAGTCACCCAAAGTTCTGTAATGTTGGGGCTTCCATATTCAGCCCACAGGCCCATAGTATCCAGAAGACTTTTTCACGAAGTAGGAAATTTGAAGACCTGTTCTGCCTTGCAATGGAAAAGTCCATCAGTTGCTTTCTTCTGTGTCCTGCAGAATGTCTGGCAGACTCTTTCATGAATAAGGAACCCCAAAGAAACATCTCACCTTTAGCCAAGTTCAGCAGTCATTTCTTTGTGGGTCCTGCATGTCCAGTTCATCAAGCAGTCCATGCAAGAACAGTTTCTTGCTCAAATGGCTAACAAACTCCGTAAGGAGCCTCTTCAATGCCCATCTTCCTCTTGAAGTAGATTGGTGCCGCCAGGAGCAGATGTGTCTCTTTGTCATGAAGAGTCTTAGGCTCTTAAAACATTTTAAATGCCATATTCTGAAAGTCTCTGAAAGATTTGAAGAATCCCTATCTCTCTGAAATACATTTCTGTACATCTAGAAAATCTAACTAACATGACTACAAGCTTGACTATTACTATTATAGATGACTATTTACCTATATTTTAATTATACATTACATTTTTAAATGAGCTGCACAAATACAAAACCTTAATCAAGAGCAGAAATGCATATAATAAAATTGACCTTAAATTCATATCAATAAACCAAGATCCATACCAATGCAAATCTCTATAGCATACACTCCTTTAAATGTAAACAAACATTTATGAACAGTATTTGGGAATGTGGGCATAGTTCTCTCCAAACTGATTTCTGCTTTTTATTTGGCAAAGTAATTTTTGGGGGGTGTTCACAGCAACCTTTTGGGTGGTCTTAGTTCATTAAACCACATTAGTCTGGAAGGATTCCACAGGTTATCATCCTCTGTGGAAACAAAAGAAGAACCTCTTTTCCAAAGTAACAAATCCTTAGACCCAAATTCTAAAGACATGATACCTTTAAAGTATATATATATTGGTTACTTAGCTCCTTTATAGTAAAAAAATTCAAAGAAAACACAATAATATACATAATCCAGTCACTCTGTATATAGTCCATTTTACGTGGCTTATTTGGTTTTATTCTATTACTTTTTAATATTTATTTTATTATATTTACTCCTTTAATTAATGCTGTACTCTGTCTCTTTAAAGACTTAGTTTCATCTTTTTATAAACCATTTACTTCTTTTTATAACTCTCTATACTCTTTTTCTTCTGTCTCCTAAGCCTATGTACATTTTTTAAACACACTATGCCCCATTTAGAGGTCTTTTATGCATGAATCTGTCCTATTGTGTATCTGTAATTCTTTACTGTTCAGGAGTGCTTCTTAAAACACTAAGCACTTCTTATGAACTTAAGCTGTGCCATTGGTAGAGCAAATACAGCCTGCCTGCTTGCTCCACCCAGTCTGACATGGCAGAAGCATGTTTGTTGCCTCCGAGAGCCATGTACATTGCGCCATTTTCAGACACACAGGGGGTCTAAGTTGCCATTAGCAATCTGTTCACAGACCCCATAGCCAATCCTCCAGAAAGAGTCAGAGTTTGTGCTGGCAGCACCACCCAGAAAGCCGGCATTTCAAAATGGTGCAGCATTTTTCTGCTACCTCTAAATCAGGAAAACCTCTCTTAAGGGAGCCGCAGTATGTCACCAGTAAGCAAAGCCCATTTGGGGACATAAATGCGACTAAACTTCATTTTTTAGTGTCTAGAATTCCTTTCCAATCTCTCTAAGATTTTAAGTGAACTTTAGTTGGCCACATGGGCACCAGTTTGTTGTGGGAAGCCACTTGTTAGTTCCCAGCTGTTCAGCCCCAAAATAATCACACAGAAACTGTATTAATTAAATCACTGCTTAGCCCATTAGCTCTGGCTTCTTATTGGCTAACTCTTACATATTAATTTAATCCATTTTTATTATTCTGTGTATTGCCATGTGGCTGTGGCTTCCCATGTAAAGTTTCCAGCTTCTGTCTCTGGTGGGGCTACATGACTTCTCTGATTCCGCCTTCTTCCTCCCAGCATTCAGTTTAGTTTTTCCCACCTACCCAAGTCCTGTCCTATAGCTCTGCTATAGTCCCAAAGCAGTTCCTTCATTAACCAATCATAATCACAGCATACAGAGGGGAAAACCACAATAAGCATTTCTATAGTCTCAACCCATTTCCTGCTCTTTGTGCCTACTGTGTTGTGGTTGAAACTAATCAGGCAGCTTTCTTCTTTTGCTGTTATGACTTCCCCACCATTGCTGTAAGAAATCTTACAGCTTGTGATTACCCGCCTACTGGGACGTGGCCTCTTATACTATAAATGCGGATGCAGAGCCTGCATCTGCCCCTTTTTTTCTTTACTTCCCTGGCTGCTCTTTCAGATTGCTGGGTTGCTGCATCCGATCTCTGTTCTCCGTTCAAGCAGAGAATTCTGATTTGTGAGTTTACCCCTAAATAAATATCTATTTCTCAATTCTGAGGTAGTGTTAGATTTATTTTAAGCCTCCATTCCACACACCATCATAAACTCTATCACTAAATCACATAAGATTCAGTAGAATTAACTGCTATTTGGTGCTAAGGTGGTTTGGTAGCCTACTGTTTTCATTTTTGTTTGTTTATTTTTGAAGACAAGATTTGTCTGTGTAGACGTAGCTGTCCTGAAAGTAGCTCTATATATCAGGCTAGCTTTAAACTCAGAGATCCTCTGACTCTGATTTCCAAGTGCTGGGATTAAAGGTGAGTCAGTATTCTTGGCTTTTTTGTTTTTAAATTGTTGTATGATGGTTTTGTTCCTATCAAACATATGTTGTTGTACTGAGCTTCACCTATATCTTGGATTTCAAAATTTGACAGAGGGTATCTCATTGTGTTTCCCAGGATGGCATGTGTTCATGAAATTAATATTGCCTGTTCCTTCTGAGTCATTGGATTGTAGGTACACAACCTTCTTCCTGCCTGTTTTTGTTTGTTTTGAATTTTTATTTTAAAAAGAGTATTTTACCTGTATGCATGGATATGCACCATGTGAGTACCTGGTCCTTACATTGATCAAAAGATGGTACTAGAAACCCTGAACTTGGAATAATGGATAGTTATGATGCCCCATGTAAGTCCTTGAGCCCACCTGTATGCAAGACTAGGAGGACTCTTTTCTCTTGAGCCATCTTTCCTGCTCTGTGTTGATTATTTGTAATGAGCATATTAATTGCTATTGTTTTCATTTGTCCATTTGTAACTTTTTAAACACACAGTGCCTTTAGTAAAATCTTATTTATGTTGCAGTTTAAATTGGGGCACTTCAGGTTTCTGGTAGATGAATAAAGAGTTGAAGTGAATGCATAACGCTTTGTTGAAACGTCAGCGCAAACCTATAAGTTATTTCTGTCTTTTATGTTTGTTTGATTATTTTTTCATCTGAAACAGGTATTTAATATGTATTTCTGGCTTTCCTAGAAGTGATTGCATGGACTAGGCTGATATTCAACTTAGAGGCAGATAGATATACCTGCCTCTGCCTTCTGAGTGCAAGGATTAGAGGCATGATTCAGTGCATCCAGTTTTTTCCAGTTTTTTCATCTCATTTTTTTGTAGTTAGGGATTAATCATTCATACAATTACTCTTATCTGTACTCTGTACTCTTGATCTGTTTATGTATCTTTCATTGTTGGTTAGTAGGCATTTCTCTTGCAAGGTGATATCCCATTCAAAGGGTTCAGAAATGACAGAGGTGAACCTCCTACTCAGTTTATTTCTAAAGTGACTTGGTGATTAAATTATGATGTCTATGTCATGGAATAAGTATGAGGAGCACTAGAATTATATGACTATACTGTCAAAGAAGTATATATTTACAGTGTTGTAAAACTCATGCTTTCTGTTGTACACATATATGGGATATTTTAGAATGCAGTGACCTATGATGATGTACATGTCGACTTCACCTGGGAAGAATGGGCTTTGCTGGATCCTTCCCAGAAGAGTCTCTACAAAGATGTAATGCTGGAGACCTACAGAAACCTCACTACTATAGGTAAGACTGAACTATCTTTCAGGTTTAAAATAAGGGGACAACTGTTCATTGGTTAATGGTGCTCTTTTGTAATATGATTGAGAAAGAAGAATGGGTAAATAAGTCAGGCATGGTTTTAAGGTTTGCTTCAAGTGGTAACTAAATTTTTTACAAGTTTTAATATATAACATACATTTTTCTGGCACTATATTTTAGGATACAGTTGGGAAGACCATAATATTGAAGAACTTTGTCAAAGTTCTAGAAGACATGAAAGGTAATTTTCATGGATAAGCTGATACAAATGTACCTCTGAAGAATTTGTAATGTATCCTATATGTTTTAAACAAAAACAACAGTGTAAATAATAAAGTACATTGATGATTATTAAATTCTCACAAAGTTATATACCTTAATTTCAGATAGGTAGGCTGCATTTGCAAGTCATTCTTTTAAGAAAGAAGTCAAGGAAACAATGTTTTAACCTATATTACCATTTGAATCATAATACAATGAGAGCTATACTGTAAAATTGTCAATCCATTTATTTTATATTATTCATATTATAAAAGATATACATGTTAAAAGATGATAAGTATATCTAAAACTCTCTAATACACTATTAGTCTATAGAAAGGGTCGTTTAACCTATATACTTGTTCAGTTTAGTGAGGAGGCAGTTAGAGTCACGAATCAAGGGGCAACTGTTGTGGAGAAGCCTTAATCCAGATACCACAAATCTATGAGGACAGAAAGTCAAACTGTGTGAACTCTATGTGGAAACCTTATATTTGTTATTCTTCCTTTACTAGGTATATCTTATGCTACTCTGTATATAAGCCACATGAGCATAGGGATGTGAAAAGATATAACATACCTCTCCCTCAGAACAAATAGAAGATATGTAGCAGTCCCCATGTTGAGTATACTTGTTGAATTTGATGTACAAGTATAAAAGTAATTGGTTTTCTAGTCTTCTTGTTAAGATATCAACAAACTCACATTTCAGAAAAGCACCATGAGTACTAGGACTGTGTAAATATTTCTGTTTGCCCTGGTTCACTTAGCAAATGTAGTATCACTCACAGTATAGGAAACTTTATGAATGCAATAAGAGTGGTAAAGCTCTGAGTTTTTTCAGTTCTCTTCAAATACATGAAAATTCTTGTGCAGAGAAAAAGATTCTGTAAATGTGAACCATGTAACAAAGACTGTTATCAGTTCTCTTCAAAGATGAAAAGCAAGCCTTAATGAAGGGGAAAAACAAGATTATAAACATATAATTCCTTAACATATAATTCCTCTTTAAAATAGTACTAAATTGTAAAATTAATTTATACAGATAAAATAGTCAACAATGTATTAAATGTAGTAATGCTTTCACATGTACCATTATCATTGTAGGCATGAAAAAAGTCAAACTAGAGAGAAAACTTCTGTATATACTCAATGTGTTAAAGCATTTGCAAATGACAGTCATCTTCACAGTGATGAAAAAACAGATGCTAGATTAAAACCCTATGAAGAAAATGAGTGTGGTAAAGCCTTTTCACATCACAGTCATCTTCTAATGCATAAAAGAACTTACACTGGAGAGAAACCCTATGAATGTAATCAGTGTGGTAAAGCCTTTGTTTATCAGAGTTATCTACAAATTCATGAAAGAAGCCATACTGGAGAGAAACCCTATGAATGTAATCAGTGTGGTAAAGCCTTTGCACAGCAAAGTAATCTTCAACGTCATGAAAGAACCCATACTGGAGAGAAGCCCTATGAATGTAATCAGTGTGGTAAAGCCTTTGCACGTCATAGTCATCTACAAAGGCATGAAAGAAGCCATACTGGAGAGAAACCCTATAAATGTAATCAGTGTGGTAAAGCCTTTGCACGTCATAGTTTTCTACAAAGTCATGAAAAAAGCCATACTGGAGAGAAGCCCTATGAATGTAATCAATGTTGTAAAACTTTTGCTCAACACAGTAATCTTCAAAGGCATCAAAGACTACATACTGGAGAGAAACCCTATGTATGTAATCAGTGTGGTAAGGCCTATGCACAACACATTAATCTTCAAAGTCATGAAAGAAGCCATACTGGAGAGAAACCCTATAAATGTAATCAGTGTGGTAAAGCCTTTGCACAGCACAGTTATCTACAAATTCATGAAAGAAGCCATACTGGAGAGAAACCCTATAAATGTAATCAGTGTGGTAAAGCCTTTGTTTTTCAGAGCTATCTACAAATGCATGAAAGAAGCCATACTGGAGAGAAACCCTATAAATGTAATCAGTGTGGTAAAGGCTTTGCACAGCACAGTTATCTACAAATTCATGAAAGAAGCCATACTGGAGAGAAACCCTATAAATGTAATCAGTGTGGTAAAGCCTTTGCACAGCACAGTTATCTACAAATTCATGAAAGAAGCCATACTGGAGAGAAACCATATGAGTGTAATCAGTGTGGTAAAGCCTTTGCTTATCACAGTTCTCTAAAAATGCATGAAAGAAACCATACTGGAGAGAAACCCTATAAATGTAATCAGTGTGGTAAAGCCTTTGTTTATCACAGTTATCTACAAATGCATGAAAGAAGCCATACTGGAGAGAAACCCTATAAATGTAATCAGTGTGGTAAAGCCTTTGCACTTCATAGTAATCTACAAAGGCATGAAAGAAACCATACTGGAGAGAAACCATATGAGTGTAATCAGTGTGGTAAAGCCTTTGCACAGCACTGTTCTCTAAAAATGCATGAAAGAAACCATACTGGAGAGAAACCCTATAAATGTAATCAGTGTGGTAAAGCCTTTGTTTATCACAGTTATCTACAAATTCATGAAAGAAGCCATACTGGAGAGAAACCCTATAAATGTAATCAGTGTGGTAAAGCCTTTGCACTTCATAGTCATCTACAAAGGCATGAAAGAACCCATACTAGAAAGAAACATTATGAATGTAATTAGTGTGGTAAAGCCTTTGTTTATCATAGTCATCTTCAAAGACATGAACTAACACATGCTGGAGAGAAACCCTATGAATGTAATGAGTGTGGTAAAGCCTTTTCACTTCACAGTACTCTTCAAATGCATAAAAGATCACACACTGGAGATAAACTCTATGAATGTAATCAGTGTGGTAAAACCTTTGCATATATGAATAATCTAAATCATGAGAAAAAATTCATACTGCAGAGAAACCCTATAAATGTAGCCAGTGTGATAAAGTTTTGTACTTTATATAAGAGTAAAACTTTTTGTTGCAACAATCTGTTAAAATCTTTGCATATTGCAATAGACATTGACAACCTGAAAAAGATACTGAGGACTTCTTATTATAAAGTATTTGGTAAGATTTTTAGCCAAAACACTTATAATCAGCTACACAATGATTTGGGATTCCCCTCTGTATTCTGTGAATGTATTTTGTTACCTTGTTTAATAAAGAAGCTGCTTTGGGTCTCTGGCAGGGCAGAATAGAGCAAGGCAGGAATTCCAAGCAGAGATAGAGGAGAAAAGAAAGTGAAGTCAGACTCCATGTATCTGCTGAAGGAGACAAATGCCCTGGAACCTTACTGGTAAATCACAAGTCTTGTGGTAAAATACAAAATAATAGGGATGGGTTAATTTAAGATGTCAGAGTTAGTTAATAAGAATCCTGAGCTAAGGCTAAGCAGTGTTTTAATTAGTATAGTTTCTGTGTGATTATTTCGGTTCTGGGCAGCCAGGAATGAACAAGAGTCCTCCGCCTACAACACAAGACTATTTCTTCTGTAGAAATAAATTTGACAGTGTTAACAATCTTTTCAAGCATTATGATGTCCTTTTTATACTGTTTATACTTACAAACTCATGGTAAAATGAATTTATGAAGCTCTATGTGTAGGGTAAATGGGCCAGCCAAAGAAACACATCCTGACCCTGAAACCAGAGCCAGTGAAATACATAATTTTTGACTCTGAAACTGGAGCCAGAGAAATACATCCTGACTCTAAAACCAAGATAAAGAAACACACTTTATTCCTGAATCCAGAGCCAATGAAAGAAACGCCTGACCCTGAAACCAGACTCAAAAGGTTATAAGGGGCCAGTGAAAGAACACAGTTTGGCCCTGAAACTAAAGAAACATACTCTACCCTTGACTGACTGAGCACAAAACCAGCTAATCCCTAAACTTGAGCTCTACCAACCCCTGAGCATGAAATCCAGCCTATCTCTGCATTGTTCAAAATCAGGGATTGACATCTAACTAATTCCCACCCTGAGACTCTTCTCCCTGGGAAAACTCTGCCCCTAAGAATTCCTATATAAGTTCTGTACCTGTTCAGTTGGCATCTGCCCATTTCTGCCCTGGCAGAGGCAGCCCCTCTCCTGGATTCTTCCGTTCCAAATGATTTTCTTGAATGAGTTTTGGGTGAAGACCTTTCACCGGAGTGATAAGAAACTCTGTAGTGGATTGGAACAGAGAAGCTTTGGTCACCTCTGCTGGCAAATTTCCCTTAAAGGAGCAGAGCAGAAGTAGCAACTCTTCACCAGAGACTGCAACATTTCTGCAAAAGTTTCCCATCAACTCCAGTGAAGCAGAGAAGTAACAATTTGGGCTGAAGCTGAGAAAAAAAATTAACATCTCTGTTAGGAAACTCCCTAGTGGGGTGGAACAGAGAAGCATTGGACACCTCTGCTAGGAAACTCCCTTAGGGAAGTGGAACAGAACAGCAATAGACGTCTCTGCTTTGAAGCTCTCTTAGCAGAGTGAAGCAGGTCCTAGCTGTGATGGCTCTCTTGGAGAGGAGCAGCCATTGCTACATCCTGCAGGGAGAACATCTCCCACTGGAACACAGCCTCGGGTATAGCCGGACTTCCCAATAGTCAGTATATGTCAGGGACCATCTTTGACAAGTATACCACTTACCTGGGTAGGGGCATAGGGATTAGAAAAATAAGAGGATGAAGACAAAGTGAAAATAATAAAACAGAAGCATAAGATAGTACCGGGAGGGAGTTCCAGTGAATACTGTAAATCTGCCTGCATTTAATTTTCCATATACATTTCTACCCCAATACAGCAGGGGGAGAAGACAAAAGGCTGCTTTAACATGATGCAAAGGACAGCTAGAACAGTTACTTGCTTCAATACTTTGAGCCGTCAAGTCCTTAATTATTGAGAAAACATTCTGTTATTCAGGCAGTGAATCCTAAAGGCAGTGATTTCCTAGGTCAAATCTCTTAATTCAAATGAAAGAGCAGAAGGATGTTTGAATTCTCTCACCTTTGCTCAAGGGGGAGTAGGCATATCTGTATGGGCCCTTTTAAAGTCCAAAAGGCAAAACATCCACACCTTAGGTCAGGGTGTGTAGCCATACCTGTTAACAACTTTGAGCAACCTCAAACTCTGACCTCCAGGAAAGGTGGAAATAGGTTCAAGGTTTTGGACCTCCACAAGGATACCTTTTCTCTTGATAGCTGTGGGTATCCAGTACACTTTCCCTTCTTGGCTGTAGGTATGGCCTGACTTCTAACAGTCAGGGTACCTTCCCTCCACAGCTTCAGTTCTAGACAGACTTCTCAACAGTCAGGATTCCTTTCTCCTCATAGCTGTAGTTGTCCAGTATACTTTCCTTCACAGCTGTAGGTATGTCCTGACATGATAGTGAGGGTACCTTTCTCTTTAGAGCTATAAGTACTCAGGGTACCTTTTCTCCACAGTTTCAGGTATAGCCTGACTTAATAACAGTCTGGGTAGCTTTCCTGTCAGCTGTAGGTATCCAAGATTGTAGTTGGAGACTGCTCAGGCAGTTTCCGGAGCCATCTAGACCCAAACAGTCACACAAAATATATTAATTACAACACTGTTTGGCCTGTTAGCTCAAGATTCTTATTAACTCATTTTTACATCTTAAATTAACCCATTTCTATTAATCTCACCACAAGGCTGTGGCTTATCAGTAAGGTTCTGTTCTTGGCACCTTTCTGCTTCAACAACTACATTGTATCTCTTTTACTCCACCTACTCTCTCTATATCTCTTCCAGCCTGACTGTATTCTGCCCTGCTATAGGACAAAGCAATTTCTTTATTAACCAATGGTAATAAAACATGTTCGCAGCCTACAGAGGGGAATCCCACATCACAGGATAACTTTCCTTCACAGCTATAGGTATAGGCCGATTTCTGACAATCAGTGTTGTGGGGAGGTCGCTTGATTGGTTCCCAGCCTCCTGGCTAGCTTAGATCTGAAATAACCACACAAAAACTGTATTAATTAAATCACTGCTTGGCCCATTAGCTCTGGCTTCTTATTGGCTGACTCTTACATATTAATTTAACCCATTTCTATTAATCTGTGTATGGCCACGTGGCTGTGATTCACTGGGTAAAATTCCCAGCGTCTGTCTCCGGTGGCTCCATGGCATCTCTCTGACTCTGCCCTTCTTCCTCCCAGCATTCAGTTCAGTTTTCCCTGCCTACCTAAGTTCTGCCCTATCAACAGACCAAGGCAGTTTCTTTATTTATTAATGGTAATTACAGCACACAGAAGGGACTCCCACATTAGGGTATCTTTCTCCACACTATGAAACTCTGGGTGGCCTGGAACTCACTATATAGACTAGGCTCTTCTAGACATCAGAAAGATTTGCCCACCTTGTCTCCAGTGTACCTGAATTATAGATGGGTACATCACAGATAACTAACTTTTTTTTTTTTTGGCTTTTCAAGAAAGGTTTTTCTTTTGTGTGTGTGTGTGTGTGTGTGTGTGTAGCCTTGGCTGTCCTAGAACTAGCTCTGTAGTCCAGGCTGGCCTTGAATTTACAGAGATCCATATGCCTCTGCCTCCCAAGCGTTAGGATTAAAGATATGTACCACCACTAAGGGTAATGTACTAATGTAATTTGGTTTTTTTCATTGGTTTAATAAGAGTGAGTGACTGAGCCTGACTTGTTGGGGTAGCAAAGTCACAGGCTATGGTCCTAACTCCAGTAACAGAAGAAGACTCCCATCAAATGCAGCCTTCCTGTCTTAAAGTCTACTGTCTTCCAACTATGAGCAATATTGTTTTTCTTTATCTTTGTATTATAATTCATCAAGGGACTAGAGCACAGTACTGTCTTTATTCTACAGATGGTTGAAACCCAGGCTCATGGAGATCGGTGGAATTTTAATATAATTAAGTGTAACTGCTCATCTTACTCATCCCATCATTCTAATGACTGATTAAATGAAGTTGAAACCAACTAAGCCAAGCATGCTGGCACAGACGTGTAGCCATGATACTTAGAAAGTAGAGGTAGGAATGTCAGGATTTCAAAGTTATCCAAAATGAGAATGGTCAGTAGGGTATGGTGGGAGGCGCATTGAACCTAGGGAGCCTGTGATTTGCTCAGGACAGTGTCCATAGTCATTCCTGCTGCCCTAGAACTTCAGGGCTGTGGCACCAGCAAATGTTAGCTGAGGTATGTACCAATCCAAGTTTTCTATTCTTGATAATGTTTTCTGTCCAAGTCAACCTAGATCACTTAAGGGTCAGATTCATGTTGCTCAATAAAGAATTAGATTCCACAGTTGGGTGAATTAGCCTCAGGCAGGGATAAAATCCCTATTTGTGTATCTGAAACAGCATGTTCAATTCTGAAACCATAACACAAAACCAACAGAAATGGACCCAGCAGGTTTTATCCACTTATTCACACAGACTTCACAAGGAAGGAATTAGAAGGGGAAAATTTGGGAACAGAAGGAGGGGACAAGGAAGGAGGAAAGTGATACAATGTGTTTTGATTAAAATGTATAAAAATAAATTTTAAATGAAAATGCAGCTTAGCTTTTCATTTAAAGATTGAGATAGCTTAGCGATTAAGAACACTGGGTGCTGTTGCGGAGGACACGGGTTACATTGCCAGAAACCATGGTTGCTAACCATCTCCTGTAGCTCCAGTTCCAAGGGATCTGATTCACTCACCTGGCCTCTGCAGGCACTGCACAGACACCTGTGGGCAAACACCCACGTACATAAAATAAAACTTGAAAAAAATAAAATTCTGTACAGAAATCACAGACTTGAGATAAACATCAGTCATGGCTATCCATCAAAGAAGCTCCTGTGGCCTTTCTCTGAGCCAGCTTGCTTGGAGGCAAAAGAAGGCTTATTCTGAGGTTAGAATGGCTCAGAATAGCTGTTGATTTAAGAACAATCACAATGTGGAGAGGTGACTTTCCCATAACATTTTTTTTAAAAATTTGTGTTCTATGTTCTTTGTGTGTGTGAGGATTGTGGCATCAAGATATCTCTTAAATGTATCTTTTAGATCATATATTAAGATCTATATATCTTTAAATCATATTATATTTTTATTTTGATCATAATGCATAATCTAAAAGATAGTTTTGCTCTGTAAATCTCCATCTGCCTAAGTGGCTAGACTTGCTTTCTCCTGTTCCTATCTAAACTGTTCAATGTATAACCTCAGGCCTGAACCTAAAAAAGACTTAAGGATGACAGCGTATGTGGAATGCAAAATCTGGGCCAGGTTGTCTCCTCTTTTAGCATTAACCACCGCTGAATGCATACTGTTATTAAAGGAATTTATGTCTATTAAATTTTAAGTGTGTGAATGATTTATCCCTGGGAAGGCATATTAATTCTAGAATAGCACTACCTCCAGCATTGGAGACAAACATTTTTATGTTGAATCAGGTAGTCTTGATCATATGTGTGAGCAATACTTTTCTGGTCAGAAGCATGTCTCCAAGCAGAAGCTACCAGAGATGATTAAAAACTTGTTCACTGACCTTAGATTTCCAAATAGGTAGAGTGCCTGGCACTGAGAGGTTACTCTTATAGGACCACACAGTGACCACAAGTGTTGAACAAAAAGCAGTTATAGCACACAACAGATAATCCAAGATGGTAATGCCATAAAATACAGCTTATGAGTGAGATATGGCATACTGTTCCCTGACATTGACAAATATTCCTTAAATTAAAATAATAAATACCCCTTTTCATTCACCTGGAGAGAGAGAGAGAGTTTGGTATTTATTACAGAAAGAGAAGTCGTGTTAAGACAATGGTGGGACAGATTAAAGATCAATTCAATTTTATTTTGTCCCATTGGATTCTTCCATGGAAAAATCGTAGAAAAGTGTAGAAGAGGTCAAATGGGTTTAGGTTCTAGTAGAAAGGCTGCAGGAATACCTGACGAAAGAATTGTGAGATATTTATCCTCACTACTACTTTTAGAAGTTGTTTCAAAATGGTATTATGTGACACCTAAAAAACGAGCTAAATTATCTATGTACTTAATAAACTATGAACTTAAAAGGTACAATGAAGAAATGGACTTGAATATATCAGTTCCTTCACAAACATCATTATTTTATGCTTTTCAAGTGCATGTACAATGGTTTGTTAATATGTCCTGGTGTGTGACTTAAGTTGTGTGAAGTTGGCCAGTGGTGGCTCACGGTTTTAATTCCAGCACTTGGGAGGCAGAAGCAGGCGGATCTCTGTGAGTTCGGGGCCAGCTTGCTCTATAAGAGCTAGATCCAGGACAGGCTTCAAAGCTACAGGGAAACCCGGTCTCAAACAAACAAACAATCAAATAAAGAACAAAAAAGAAGTCGTATGACGGTGCTAGGAATTGATGATAATATATGGTGGTTGGATAAGGGGTGTTTCAACATTGGAACTCTTAAGAAAATATCTCTGTAAGATGACTGGGAATTAGGAAACAAGAAAAGAAGTACTTGGAAGCATTGTGGAAAAACAGAGCTTCTTTCAATGATCCTAAATTGAAGTAGTAAAAACATACGAAAGTGTTTACATATTGCCAACTTTTGCACTAGACTTGACATATTCTTTATTTTTATTTTTCCATTAAAAAAATGTACACTTCCTCCCCTCCTCCCATTCCCCTCCCGTTCCCCCACTTACCCTCCTCCCTTCCCCTCCTTCCCCTTCCCTCCTTAAGAGAGGGCAGGAAACCCTGCCCTGTGGGAAGTCCAAGGCCCTCCCCTCTACATCCAGGCCTAGGAAGCTGTGCATCCAAATAGACTAGGGTCCCAAAAAGCCAGTACATGCAGTAGAGACAAGTCCCAATGGCTTTATCAATGGCTTCTCAGTCATCCCCCATTGTCAGCCACATTCAGAGAATCCAGTTTGATCACATGCTTGTTCAGTCCCGGTCCAGCTGGATTTGGTGAGCTCCCATTAGAACAGGCACACTGCCTCAGTGGGTGGACCAACCCCTTGCAGTCCTGACTTTCTTGCTCATCTTCTCCCTCCTTCTGCTCTTCAACTGGACCTTGGGAGCTCAGTCCGTTGCTTTGATGAGGGCCTCTACCTCCATCTGTCGCCGGATGAAGATTCTATGGTGATATTCGAGATAATCATCAGTGTGATAGTGGGGCAAGGCCAGTTCAGGCACCCTCTCCTCTGCTGCCCAAGGACCTAGCTGGGGACATCCCCGTGGGCACCTGGGATCCCCTTTAGAGCCAAGTCTCTTGCCAACCCTAAAATGGTTCCCTTAATGTAGATACCTTCTTCCCTGCTCCTATATCCACCCTTCCTCAATTTCCACCCTCCCACTCCCCAAAGCTCTCTCCAGTCTTTCCCTTCTCTCTCCCCCTCTCTACTTCTCCAGACCCATCCCACCCCTACCCTCACCCCCATGCTCCCAACTTTTGCCCCGTGATCTTGTTTGCTTCCAATTTCCAGGAGGATCTATATATGTTTTTCTTTGGATTCACCTTGTTATTTGGCTTCTCTAGGCTTGTGAACTATAGGCTTAATGTCCTTTGTTTATGGCTAGAGTCCACTAATGAGTGAGTACATACCATATTCATCTTTTTGGGTGCAACCACTTTGGAAATCAGTGTGGCGGTTTCTCAGGAAATTGGAAATCAACCTCCCTCAGGATCCAGCAATACCACTCTTGGGAATATACCCAAGAGATGCCCAATCATACTACAAAAGCATTTCTTCAATTATGTTCATAGCAGCATTATCTGTAATAGTCAGAACCTGGAAACAACCTAGATGCCCCTCAATGGAAGAATGGATAAAGAAAGTATGGAATATATACATATTAGAGTACTACTCAGTGGTTAAAAAAAAATGCCCTGTCCTTCTTTGCTGTGGGAATGTGTTTCTGGAGCCAAGGTCTGATGTCTCACATCTGGACAACATCTTTTTATCAAGAAGAAAGTATTAGTGAAATTTGTTATCTAAATAACATCTCATATAGACATATCTAATATCTGTGGAATGCAATCCCTTGTGTTATTACCAATTCTCTTAGTCTTTGATTAAATTTTCTCCTTGA